TTGGACCTCTTCTTCTGCTGCTGCGGTCTTCGGGAAGTCCTGGCTTCCAGATGTGCAAATAATCAGCAAATTCGATCAGAAATGCCTGGACTGTTTTCCAGGTGTGATGCAGTGATACCACTGTGATAAGCAGATCAGTTAATGATAATTGAAATTATTGCAGAGAAGATTGGATGAGTCATCCAGTTCAGCGGAAGAATGGTTCAGTAGCGGCGAAAGCGCGGAAGATGCGGATTTCCTGGAGCAAGAAGTGGCGAACAAGCGGAAGAAGAGCACGGCCAAACCGGCGAAGGACTTTCCGGACAGGGAGGGGCAGGAAATCAATGATGATGATGAAGATGAGGAGGAGGAAGAGGAGGATGGAGTACTCAACACGTTATGGACGTATGACTTAGCCGAAATGCGCGTAAAGAAAGAATTTGAATTTCCAGATTTTGTCAGAGAGATTAATGCTTCTGGTAAGTCGTTAGCTGAAAAGTAAACGTCACTAACGACTTTTTTTTCAATTCGAGTTTTATTAATCCCAGAGAAGTTTAAAAATCTCTGAGGTGAGAGTTATTCGAAACACATAAAATCCTGGAAACTAGAATTCAAATCACACGTGGATAATAGATTATTACCGCATCTTCTGGTATAAACAGTAGCCCCTGAACACGTGCAGTTGCCTTTCTTACACCAGCATCCTGTGTGCTTTTCCCAGTTCTGGAAGGTTTGGAGGATGAAATTACTGAGATTTGAGATGATTATTTTGGACCTGAGAAGGTGTACATCGGGAAGACTTTGGATATTTGCTGGAGCTGTCGTTTTAGGAGCGAAGGATCTGCATAGCTGCGCTCGGCATGTGAAAACATCCCAGTAACATCACTAATTTGAGATCCCCACATCGCTTATCCCAGCGATACTGTTGTCTTTTATACGTTGGACAGAGTATTTTTGTGCCGTTCATGCAGTCCAGTTAAATTTTCGAAAACATCCGTTTAAATAAGCGGTTTGAGTATGTGGTATGATCGGAGTATCCATTTTGCCTTTGTAGTTGGAAGCACGCAGTCGCATATGCAAATGAAAGTGGATTTTTTGACAAACGACCGCTCGAGTAATACTTCCACTTTTTGGTGAAGTGGAAATTTGCATTTTTTCAAAAAATTTGCATTTGTCTTTTTTTCACAAAGCGAGCATTTACCGAAAAAAACCACCGGCACCAAGATGTTACGGGGCCTCGGTAATACACTATCACTTTGTATAAAGTGAGGCTTTCTGTTGAGAGGCTGGATTTCCCATGTCACATATCGTCCAGCGTTACAAAATGCAATACAACTTTTTTTGTTTTGAGAACATTTGATCAGCTGTTGTTTTGTATTCGCCGTTGATGCGGCGGGTGACTGTTTCCTCTGACTGGTTCTGCATTACCGGGTGTCTACCTGCTTGTAATCCGGGCATCCGCTGGAATTTCGATCCGCTTTTTCTTTTGTTTTGGGAAGAATAACAAGGAAGAGGGATGTGTCTACTGAAAAATGTTGACGGGAGATGTCGGCGTTAAAGCCATTTTTTTAGTGCACAATATTCCTTAATAATGAATTCTTATTTATTTTTTTTTGTGTGTGTTGTCAAGGCAGAGTGAAATAAGTGAATGAACTGTGTACTGAATTATTAGAAGTGAACGAATGAACTGTGTGCTGAATTACTGGTATAATTTATGGTCTTCTTAGGTATGGGTATTTTCGTTGCAAAGCATAGCTCGCAGTGTTTTTTTCAGATTTCACAGTGGAATATGTACGGGAACATGGGCTCGAGGAACCGCTTCTTTTCAAGGATTCTGTGAGTGCACTTGGAATGAAGTGAGTGTTCAGAAAACATTTAAAATTAATCCAACATTTTATTGGCTTATTGCAAAACATTCTCGTTATTTGGACTTTTACTTGAGTTAACATGAGAGGTAGGCACCCCCTCCCCTCACTTCCCCCCTGCCCCTTCTCCCCCACTCATTTGGAAGAGTGCTGTAGTGTTTTCAGTGGGACTGCATTCCAGCTCTTTGCTCATCGGGCAGGTACTTTTCTCTTGTGTGATTATCGTGCAAGTATTATTTACATGCAGATTATGCAGGTTTTGAATTAATTTTGGAAATGCGTGTCGATGTTGATAAATTAGAAAACAGTTTTCACACCTCAACTGAACTTGGAGAACTTGCAAGCACATTTTGCAATCTGCGGTGGGTTCCGGAGAATTAAAGATGACTAATTCACAAAATAGGACACGCAACCTTCTGCGTCGATATGCCTCGCTGTTGGTCACTTGTCTCCTGGCTTTTTGTTCCATGCAATGTTTTTAGCTGCCACCAAAAATCCATGATGTGTTGGTGCCCGCAAATTAAGGTGTCTATATATTCTCATATTCAGCTAAGGGAATCATTCCTTCACTGCGGCCCATTCTTAGAAGTGTATTTCTTTATGAGGAAGCGTAGCACTTGTGAACAACACTGTAATAATCAGACTAATCTTCTGCAGCTCTGTGTAATTTTCTTCAGCAGCTAAATTTTTTGAGGATGCCTAGCGATGGGACACTGACGGCGCAGTGCGTGCTAAAGGCAGTCGGTGACTGTGAGGTGGAGGTAGTTGGCGTAATGACTCAAAGCAGCCGCAGAATGATGCTTCGAGATTTCGTCCGATATTACGAGTAATTTTTTACTTTTTTTGAATTCTTTTTATAACATGCTTAAATGAGAGCACCATTTTGGTGCTAGCCTTTTTCGTGTGGCATTTCTGAACATGCCGATTTTAGGTCTCCGCCAGCAGAACGAGAAAAATTACTCAATCTTTTATCGCTTGAATTCTCTCTTACACCTCTTGCAAAACGGATTCGTGCGCCAACAGTGGCACGCGAAATTGACTGGGTTGAGCTGTACTGGCCAAAGGAACTACGCAATTGTCCGACAACTTTCCCAAAAGTGCAAAAGTGTGTATTTTGTTACATATTCTTGATCTTGAACGATACGGTTCTTCCGGTAGGGATTAATTGGTGAAATGTGTTTTGAGTTTCAGGTATTTTTATGTTTTCTACAGGGGAAGATGTGCTGAGGGTTTTGACTTTGATCATGCAGAGTTTTAATTTTACATCATAAATGAGATGCCAGTTCACTGTGTGATTCTATAACTCAGCAAGTGTTAACATTTAATGTTACATCGTTTGGTGGTGTGGATCCTGATGCTCTTTTTTTTTTTTTTTTTTAAGGAATATGAGCTCAGCCTTTTTTATAAACAAAAGCAGCTGACAAAATTCCAGCCATTTTGAGATGTTTTTGGTGTTAAGTATCATCTTCTGAATGTTGCTATTCCTAGATCACGATAACGTACCTTACCAAATGGAAACAAATGACTTTATATCCTGTTTTTCTCTTTTTTTGATGAATTTTTATATTTTCTCCATCCTTCAAACACGAAAGTGCTTATTACAGTTTGCAATTTCTTATTCACTGACGAGCAGTGATGGCAGATGCGAGGGGAATCTCTTCTCCTAAAAGCTATTTTTAGCTACTGTCTACTGAGTGTTCGAGGATCGTTTACCGATTTTCACATCGATTTTGGTGGCACTTCAGTTTGGTATCACATCTATAAAGGACAAAAAGTATACCTTTCATTTTTTTTTTTTTGAAAACAGATAACCATCTTTGTAGGCGAAGACAAAGTCTGCAGCACAGTGCATTTGGCCGTGGTATTAATAGTTCAAAACCGTTGTGATAAAAATCATTTCTTTCGTTTTTTGGTGGCTAACTTGCTTATTAATCAGAAACCTCTCATTTTTAACTTGCTTTTTGTGCACTTCTTGGAGAGGGAAGCCATCTTTGCTCTTTTAACTAAAAAACACGCTGGCCATTTCTGTTGCTAAGAACATGCTGCCTTTGCCTGCAGAAGATTAGAGAGTCTTGTTTTTTACTGATTATTGATGCACTGCTTCTGATGGGCCATGTTGAGTTGCAGACTTTCTGGGTGGTTGAGCCTA